GGATCCTCCGAAATCAGTCGAGTTCAAGTTGACCCAGGCTCAGCACTCAGCATCATGCCTTACAGGGTCATGCAGGTCTTAGGGATTCTTATGCACCGACTGCACACCACCCAGACTACTATCTTTGGGTTCAATGCAAACAGCACCCGACCTCTGGGAAAGATCAAGCTCAGATGCCAGATCGGAGATCTTAAGTATGAAGTAGCATGCTACATCATAGATGCGGACACGTCTTACAATCTTTTGCTAGGACGACCGTGGATACATGCAAACCGCATTGTCCCATCTACTCTGCATCAAGTCATGAAGTACGCCAATAACGAGGGTGAAGTTCAAACCTTAATTGCAGAAAAATACCCCTTCCGAGGGGTGGAAAACTTTCATACCGACTCCGTCTTCTATCTGGAATCCCAGGAGAAAGAAGATGTGGACAGCGGTAACAAAGCTGACATCGAGCCAGATCCCGATGAAGATTGTCCTTGGGAATTAAACTTTGATGTAATGGGTCAGGGTGAGAGTAATAATAGTGTACCGAGTGAGGGCGAGTGGTGCATTAATGAAGATTCCATTTTAGCGTACTTGTCTGATGTCTCTCCTAAAAATAAACAAATAGAGAATGATTCTAGTGCAGGTACTAATCCATAGCATGTACTGTGTACAGAGGTGTCGCTCACCTTGCCAATTCAGTCATCCTTCGCTTCAGATGAAGAAGTGGAAGACGCATAGAAGGCTTTCTTTAAAGTCCCATCCAAAAAGAAAGGGCAGAAGCTAATCTGTTTTGGAAGAAATGTTCATAGTGTTGTGCGTGACGCGGAAGCGAGACAACCAAACGGGTGTGCTTCGAGAACCAAATCAAACAAACGTCGAGATAAAGGCAAAATTAACAAATCAAAACAACGGTACAGATCTAAACACAATAGTTTTACGTGGTTCGGCAAATTACGTACGTCCACGGGGGACAAAACAACGGTACAGATCTAAACACAATAGTTTTACGTGGTTCGGCAAATTACGTACGTCCACGGGGGAAGATGGGGATTGGGTTTTTACTAATAGAGAAGAAGAGTACAAACTGAGATTACAAATCACTCGAAGGAACAAACTAATCTCACCAACAAATCTCTTAATCTCTCCAAATAAAACCTCAAATAACTGCTCAGAAAAACTCTTCTTTTTCTGTGCTCCAAATATCCCCAAACCAATCTCCAAACAAAGCCAAAGAAACCATAATTCGTATGTTGGTATTTATAGCAAACACCAAACCCAATAAGAACAGGAAACACAAAACAGGCCTGACCCGATTGGGCGATCCAGCGACAGAGACCAAATTTGCCTACAGGGTCTCGCGGTAGATCGCGACGGTCGACCGCGCCAAATCCAGACTCCTACTCTGGCTTGTGCACGTTCACGGTCGACCGACCTTACACCGCAGTCGACCGCGCAGCACCCAAAACGACTCCTGTGCCTCCAAACCTATTCTGATCCAAAATTTCTCGCCGATTCTATAATTCTCCACCTCGACGAAATTTCTTCCAAAAAACTGAGCCGACACCGACCAAACCAAATACCTCACCTTTTACGTCTAGTACGAAGTAAAATGATTCACGACAACGGACTCAATCCACAACAAGTCGAGACCCAAACGAGAGTGCGAACACTCACCCAAACATCAATATCTACTCACCAAATCGGCTGCATCAAAACTGACTGCCTATGTATCCTCTTGCCCAATGAATCAAGCCTCCACGTAGTTCACCCAAATGGTCTTCAAAGGCCATCAATCCAATAGAAGAGCACGCAACCCTCCTCCATCATCACCAAATCTGCGACTGATAGCACCTCCAATGACCTCAAACTGAAACGATCCAAACACCTCTGCCTAAGGTGAACTAATGGCCATGTCTAAACTATGCCTATCAGCTGCACTCAAAACAATCAACACGTCATCTGCATCTGAAACAGAATGACCCCTATGCTGTGTCACCTCAGCTGAAGTCCCAAATAATACAGAATGACCTGGAGTGTGTGGAGTAATATCCACCCAATGTGGAGTAGCATCACCCTCCACCCGCTGTAATATCCAACTGATCTGATCAACACTATCCATCTGGCGAGAGTCCAAAGTGACACACTTGCTCAGAACAAAATCAGAAGCTTCTAAATGATAGCCAAACGAGCATTTGAATCCCAAACACGCAATCAGAATAAATTTCACATCCTCAATGTGACCAAATGCTGGGTAACCAAATATCCGACGCCAACTAAAATCTAAAATAGCTCCACTAGATCCAATAACTTTAAATACAGCAGTCGGCGACCTATGACTAAGATGCTCTAAATATGTCGAACATCCTAAACCAGAACCAATGCTTGACAACCAATGCCGATCCCCCTCCAGAAAGGAACAACCAATCAAAAATATCATCTTATCTCGTCGCCATAATGTTTCCTCTCTAATAAAATGTCTCAAACTGCCAAGAGCTCGGCACAAATGCAGAAATGTGTCACTCTTGTACCTCCCGCTAAAATCAGAATGAAGTACCTTCACCTTCTGCCAATACACTTCTTTAACTATTGTTGACTACCAGGACTTCAAAATCAACGGGACTTGGTTGCAACCCATAAATACCTAGTATAATCCCCAACATAGAAAACCAAAATACCAATTTACCTTCCAATGATGCCTCCTTGGAAGACCCCTAAATGCTTGAATGAACACCAAATAGAAAACCCCTCAATCATCGAATAGAAGTGCCAAACTCTACCTCGGTCTCCTTGCTCATACCAACGTGCTCAAAGGACTTCAATATGCAGGTCAAGAGCACTTCTCAATAATCCAATGCACCATATCAACAAACAAATAACTCAGCCTCAAATTATTCTATCTCGGTCAACTATCTCAAAGTACCAACAAATGAAGAATAAATCCAAACTGATAAAGAAGAGAATTTTACCTCCAAATGAAACCCTAGCAAGAGTCTCCAAACGATCTTACCTCGCACGACGGCAACGAGATCCACAAATAAGAAAAAAAATCCCACCTTTATCTCCAAACGAAACCTTCGAAGAGCCTCCAAAGCGATCTACTCCTTCAAATAGCGCAAGCGCCAACAAATCAATGCGGAACAAACGAAGAATAGATCCAAATTGAAAAAGATAGAGTCTTTACCAAAAAGATCTCACCTTTCTCACCAAACAAAACCCTAGCCAAACTTCCAAATTGATCTACTCCTTCAACCAAGACAAAACCCTAGATCTGGAATCTGGACTCTGATACAAATTGTTGTAAGCGACGTGGAAGCGGGACAACCAAACGGGCATGCTTCGAGAACCAAATCAAACAAACGTCGAGATAAAGGCTAAACAAATCAAAACAACGACACAGATCCAAACACAATAGTTTTACGTGGTTCGGCTATTGCCTACGTCTATGGGACAAGAAGAGGATTTGATTTTTATAAATAGAGAAGAAGAGTACAAACTGATATTACAAATCACTCGAAGGAACAAACTAATCTTACCAACAAATCTCTTAATATCTTCAAATAAACCCTCAAATAATTGCTCAGAAAAACTCTCCTTTTTCTGTGCTCCAAATATCCCCAAACCAAAAACTCTCCTTTTTCTGTGCTCCAAATATCCCCAAACCAATCTCCAAACAAAGCCAAAGAAACCCTAATTTATATGTTGGTATTTATAGCTCCAAATATCCCCAAACCAATCTCCAAACAAAGCCAAAGAAACCCTAATTTATATGTTGGTATTTATAACAAACACCAAACCCAAAAAGAACAGGTAACACAAAACATGCCCTGACCCGATTGGCGGTCGACCGCCCAAAGCTCACAGTCGATCGCGATCTAGCGACAGAGACCAAATTTGCCTACAGGGTCTCGCGGTCGACCACGACAATCGACCGCGCCAAATCCAGACTCCTACTCTGGCTTGTGCACGTTCGCGGTCGACCGGCCTTGCGCCGCGATCGACCACGCAGCACCCAAAACAACTTCTGTGCCTCCAAACCTATTCTGATCCAAAATTTCTAGCCGATTCTACACACAGAAAGCAGTTGGTTAAATTTTAAGCAAAAAGGCGAGAACTTCAAAATCATCTTTCGTTAATTTAGAACTCCGATATATAATTCATTTAAAAAGTGAAAAACACGTTAACACATGCGCCTATATATTAATAACCCAAAGTCCGATATATAATTCATTTAAAAAGTGAAAAACACGTTAACACATGCGCCTATATATTAATAACCCAAAGTCAGTAACGAACTATAGAAACTATTAGGAGTACACGTTAACACATGCGCCTATATATTAATAACCCAAAGTCAGTAACGAACTATAGAAACTATTAGGAGTACGACAGTACTTAGATGTGTGAACTTGTTTGAGCATGCTTTAGTGATCCTCGTCAAAGTTTGTGCAACTCATAAGTTTGAATATGGGCAAATTAATTCATATATAGCTATCTACGTCAATTTTGGAATACGTTGAATGGTCTACAAATTAATATTCTAACTAAGCGAGCTGTTATCTATTTTACAAGTAAAAATATCATACCACTTAGATGAGCGAAAAGTAATACAACCACGTGAAGGGAAAACCAAGTCAAAGGAAGAATAAGGCAACAGTCAGAATTTGAATTGATTTGCACCGTCGGATTGATGGCTTTCGTCCAACGAGAAAATCAATTGTCAGGTTGCATGGACCTTTGAAATTTGATTTTGTGAAGGATATTAATTACAAAATCCTTATCACGCATGCATAAACTTAATTTCTAGTCGATGCGTGTGATCATAATTAATTAGTTAGTTCATAACAAGTTGCTTTACTGCTGACCTTTGCAGTCTTCGTTACGTTCAAATAAAAACGAAGTGCTTTACTGCTGACCTTAAGCAAAGAACCGAGACTATTGGATCTTAATTTTGATTAATATTATAATTAATGATCAGTGTCTCCTTTGGCGGCTCATGCCCCCAAGATCTCGCTACATATATATACAGCCATCGAGTGCCCAAATATTGTCATTGCGATTTGAAGTGTTAGTTTCTATTCAGAGATCGATTAGCGTCATAAGTTCATTGCTCCTTCTAAATTGATCATCAGCCTTCAATTCTCGTTAGTTCCCTTTCACTAGCTTTATTTTGAAGCGTTACTTTCTACTTATAAATTAGCTTTTATATATACATGTGTGTGTAATTAATGCTCTAATAAAATTATCTTTTTGTTTTTCTTTTTCATCAGAAGATCTAGAGCAGATGGGCTCTCGAATGACAGACGAGCTATTGCTCATGTTCGCACCCAACATCGTATACTGGGTGTATTCGGGTATGTACGCGATGCTGGGCGACATGGAAAAGTACAGGCTGCATCCAAAGGGAGATGAAAATAAGAACGTACCATCGAGGAGCACGGTCATCAAGGGCGTCCTCACGCTGCAAGCAATGCAGATAGCAGCATCCTTCGTATTTGTCATGGTATATATATATATATATCATGAATCAATATATGCACATGCAACATTAATTTACAGAATTAGATTTCTAGTGTTTGAGAATAATGTGTATAGATATCGTTGTCAGAAGATTCTCTCGTATATCTATGCTTTTTAATTCACGATAGATTTCACGTAACTACCACAAACTTAATTTGAAGGGTAATTTACATGAAACTGTAATTAACAAACGTGTTTTTACTGTAAAGAAAATTTTATCATAAACTATTGGAAACCGTTACTAACCCTGTTAAAATTTTGGATAAAAACGGCCTAAAAATTAATGACAATAGGAGATAGGAGAAAATAACATAAAAGTCATATGAAGTAAATAAGTGCAAGAATATCCAAAACATGCATATTTGGAAGAAGAAGAAGAAGAAGTTTAGTTTAAAAAGAATCCATTTCAGTTTTTTAGTTAGGAAATATTAATTATAACCTCCCAAAATATATTCATAGAATTTTTTTCCCCTTTTTCTGAAAGGTACTCCCTTCTTCTAAAAAAATGAAAATCGACGACTCACTAGTTCAGAGAGAATGTCCAAACGGCCTAAAAAATTATGCATGCAATTTTACGGATGCAAAAAACATTCAATGGGGGATAAGGGAGATAGAAATATATGATAATATATATACAGACAATAATATTGTGGATACCCACTGCATGCATGCATGAATGTACTATGTCTTATCTGACCATGTATATATATATGTAAATGGATACTTTCACGTATAGTACGTATGTGTACAGCGCTAGCTGTTACATTCTCGATCGGGAAAGTATCTATCCAAACCTTCGATCGATCAATATTAATCCATCCTCTAATAAATTATTACTCGATCGCAGCTCGCCAGGGACAGCATGAGTTTGGGTGAAAAAAAGCCAGAACCATCTCTCTCAACAATGGCGCTCCAGTTCCTAGTCGCCGCAGTGACCATGGACACTTACCAGTACTTCATGCACCGTTTCATCCACTCCAACAAGTTCCTCAACAAGATCCACTCCCATCACCACAGCCTCGTCGTCCCCTACGCGTTCGGCGCCACCTACGGGCACCCCCTGGACGGCATCCTCATCGACATCTCAGGCAGCCTCGTCTCCAGCATGGTCGCCGGGATGACCCCTCGGACCTCCATGTACTTCTTCTGCTTCTCCACCGTCAAGATCGTCGACGACCACTGCGGCCTGCTTCTCCCCTGGAATCCCCTGCAGAGGTTTTTCAGCAACAACTCGGCCTTCCACGACGTCCATCATCAGCTGTATGGGAACAAGTACAACTACTCTCAGCCCTTCTTTGTGAGTTGGGACAAGCTGATGGGGACTTACTTGCCCTTTACAGTTGAGAAGAGAGAGGAAGGGGGCTTTGAGGTCACACCCCACCTGATGAAGCAAGCTTAATTAGCTAATTAATCTCTCTTTTCATTCGTAATATTTATTGGTTTGAGGCATATTCTTGACGTACATCTATATATATAAATGCATATACATTCAATTCACACAAATAATGTTCGTTTGTGTAATTAAATATTATTAATTATTGTAAATTAAGTTCCATCGTGCACGGCTTATTATTAATAAAAATTAAGGGTGTACGTGATTTGGATATACATATATATATATGGATCGCGAAGCATATTAATTGCAGCATTTTCGTTTAACAAGTTACTTACACGATGCCAAAGTTGAGGATGAAGCAAAAGCAAATTAAATTCCGCAGCTAGCGTGCAAACACCATATTTTAATCCGAACATTGTGCCGAATGGCGTGCGACTTCGTTAAAACTTCACGTACATCCATTATGCAGCAGAAATAGAAGCTGCGTTTGAGGATATCATCTCCGATTAGATGAGGGGAGCAGCAAAAAATATTTTTAAAATTTGAAAAATAAAATAATACTAATGAGTAATCTCCGATTAGATGAGGGGAGCAGCAAAAAATATTTTTAAAATTTGAAAAATAAAATAATACTAATGAGTAAAGGAAAGGATGGAGTGAAAACAGCTAATAAATATATTTTCTTCCTTGATTTTCTAATGAAGCACTTACAAAAAATTAATTATCTGGAACACCGATCGATGACCGTGCGTTTGGGGTGCCCTTAGCCCTTAGCGGCGCTTAGAGTTTTGATACCCCCGGTCTAAAGGATCGTGGGGAAGTTCACTCGTCAAGCCGAAAACAGAAGTAAAGTATTTAGCCATAGTTTGTTGAATTTGCGCCACCTTATATTAAAAGCTACTAAATTTACACAATCTCAAAATCTACACAAACAATTAAGAATAAGGTAGGATATATTTGGAGTTGATACTTGGAAGAAGGCATAAACATTTGGAATCTTAGAGGTCTGGGCTTCAACCAGTTGACTTGAAAGGCCAGAAGACGGTCAAGATTGAGTCCAGCTTGATGCAGCCCATGCGAGGAGTATTGACGATATTCTTGCGAGCAAAAGCTGATGAGTTCGCCTGGGGTCCCGAAGATATGCCGAGGGTTCCCCCGAGGTGATAAGCCACGACCTAGCTATTGACAAGCACACTAAGCTTGTGCGACAAAATAAGAGATATCTCGGCCCGGAACGACAGAAGGCGGCTGTCGATGAAGTTGAACGGCTCCTTAAAGCTGGTTTCTTTGAGGAAGTCCAACACCCGGAATGACTGGTAAATGTGGTGTTGGTGAAGAAAGCGTTGAACAAATGGAGGATGTGAGTGGACTTCACCGACCTCAACAAAGCTTGCCCTAAGGATAACTACCCCCTGCCTCGAATCAATCAGCTGGTTGACGAGAGTACGAGGCGCAAGCTACTTAGTTTCATGGACGCCTTCTTCGACTACAATTAAATTTTAATGGCAAAACATGATCAGGAGAAGACTTCATTTATCACTGACTTGGGGACCTATTGCTATAACATGATGCCATTCGGATTGAAGAACATCGGGACCACTTACCAGAAACTTGTCAACAAGGTCTTTAAGCATCAGATCGGCCACAATCTGGAAACTTATGTGGATGACCTACTGGTGAAGTCGAAATAAGTGTCGACCCACATATTAGATCTGGATGAGACCTTCTCCACTCTCCGACGCTACCGCATGAATCTCAATCCCGCCAAGTGTGCCTTTTGTTGACCTTCTTATTTTGATAATGATTTAATAAATAATTTACGACTAATATTAGTTTTTGTATTTTGTTTTGTACTATACACAGGAAAATGAGCTACAAT